TTGCAGCATCCAGTCTCCCTGTCTTGCTGCTTATATCAAAGTCATATCAGAATCAAGGACTGCCGAAGAGAGCTGGCCCTCCTTTGAATCAATTGTAAGTATATCCAAGAATATAAGCCCGCCTAAAGCAGCCCGTTAGTCCTAGGGGTACATCTAAAAAGAATCTGATTTACACCATCCTCCGTGCCCACTTTATCTTTTTGATGGACACGTTAGCAAAGGGACCAGACCTATATCAAAGTCATATCAGAATCAAGGACTGCCGAAGAGAGCTGGCCCTCCTTTGAATCAATTGTAAGTATATCCAAGAATATAAGCCCGCCTAAAGCAGCCCGTTAGTCCTAGGGGTACATCTAAAAAGAATCTGATTTACACCATCCTCCGTGCCCACTTTATCTTTTTGATGGACACGTTAGCAAAGGGACCAGACCTGCTGGCACTGGCAAGCTGACACAGGCAGCTTTCTTCTTGGACCTGGCAAGGTCATCATTAAGTATTTATTCCTGATAGCGGATCTGAGCACTGAACGCAGTGGCTATGCCTCCAAAATGTTGTAAGCACACATATGATCTAGCCAGCTTAATGTGAGTACCTAATGAAGAAGTCCTCTTAAGTGCCTAACTTTCCTCTGTAGTGAGAAGGGAGGGAGGGTTCATCCTTCTGCTTTTTAAACTGGGTGAACCAGGATGGCTCCAGCCACCCCGACAGTGATATGACAAGGATGTGTTCTATCCCCCTATCCCCTCCCTTGCTTCCCCCACAGCCTGATTTTTAAGGGAAGGAAACGTGTCCTCTGACATAAATGGGATGTATGGACTCTATAGGAGTCGTTGGTTACTTAAGGGACTAAGTCACCTCGGAAAGACTATAGCAGGGTGCTTCCAAACCTCTGCCTGAAAATTGGATCTCATTATGCTTTGTGTATGTCTTGTAGAGTTTGCTACCTGATGTGGTCTGCTGCCGAGCAGCCCTTGTGTTACTTGAGTGCACCTTGGAGTCACACTTGCAATAAGGTTTCAGTGATAACAAGCAGTAGCTAATTGCATCCAGGAATGTTGCTCGTGCTATGCCATGTATGCATGATTTGAAAAGACAGGCTGCAGTTTCCCTTCACAAAGCTGACATGAAGAAATAATTCATTCATGAGAACACAGGCAAATGAATAAATGAAAGAACAGGCACTGCAGCAGTGGAGACTCGAGCAAATCATGTTTTCTGAAAGGTCAGGAGTGTCTGAGGTCCTCAAAGGTTAAAATACTTACTTCACATGTGTAAATAAAGGATTTACAGCAATAAAGCCATTACTGTCGTTGTTAGCAATTAATATTGTAGTTAGTACCGCACACAAAATTAATCCATGACTGCATTTACTGGGGGAGACTCTAAAGACTTCAGCTGACTGGAGAGCAAGTGATGTGTCTGGTATAAGCAAACACGGGTAAGGTTTTGGTAAATTTACAGGAGTAGCATTTCTTCCTGCCCTACATGCGTGGAGGCAAGAGGCCAGCCCTGGCCCACAGTCACTCCCTTTCTGCCGCTTGCTAGAAACACGGCACTTGTAAAATAGCTCTGTCTAGACAAAAACGTTTGCCAGTGCTAAAGAAAATGTCATCATTTGATATTTTTGCAGTGCCAGACTAATGCCACGACTAGACTGTATCTCCCATGGCACCTTCTACTGTGACAGAGAAGTCCCATGCAGCAGATGAGCCACCTCACCTTCGGGGTGCGTCATCGGGTACGCAGCTGTGCTGGGTATCTTGCCTCTGGAGAACAGAAAACTGGGAGCTAAGCTGTCTTTATACAGCAGGATTTCCCAACAGAACTATTTTTATCTTCAGACAATTAGGTTTCCACTGAAAATATTAAATTTTCAATAGGAAGTGGCTCTGGGAGAAATTATTTCTCAAGCAAATTTTATCTTGGGGGATTTTTTTTCTTTGGTCAGAAAAAAAAAAATTCTCATTGCAATGGACTTGTGTGTGATGTGTCGTTGTGGTTGCAAGAGAAAAAAATTAAGGATTTAAGTCACCAATAGTGTTGCCCTCGTTTTGTATTCTACTTTAAGAGAATTAATGTTGATTTACTGAGAAGTCTTGAAATAAAACGTTTTGCTTTTTGTCGAAACTTTCTAAAGGAGGAAGGCAGGTTTTGTCTAGTTGCTTTTCCTCTCTGTTGCCAGAAAAAGGCCTGGCACTCTAAATATGTGAGAAAGGCAGACTGGAATGAGTTCTTACCTGTGTGACCGAGAGCAGAAGCTATCTATAGCCAAAGACCTCTCTTGCAGTACGATGTGGGCTGGGGAGGCAATACTGCATAAACACCAACCATAAAAGTCACAGGGAAAATGGACGGAGTCATGTGAGCCAATTCGCGTTCCCTCATTTTGCTGTTCTTTGCTGAAGTATTTAAGGGGTTGAATCATTAACTCGCAATTTGTTTCTACAGATTGGCAATGTCAAGTCTCAGTCACCAGCATGGTGTGGCAAAAGGGCTTTCTGCAGGAGCTCGGGAGGCTGAGAGGCAGCTGACTCGGGCATCGGCGACATGGCTAGAAGACAGCCATCACCCAAGCCAAAACCACCTCCGTGGTGGTTGTGACCCTGCTTCAGCACCTCATCTCAAGGTATCTCAGTACTCAGCATTACCTTGTCCTATAAAAGCTTCTGTTCACATGCACTGTCTTTCCAAAGTGTCACAAGTTTAAACTGATAGTGGCTTTGTACCACCCCGAAAAGGACCCAGCTCTGGGTGTGGGGAAGATTGCTGACAGAAAACATCTAGCGCTCTTGCAACAGCTTTCAATGCAGTTGGGAAAAGGTTCTTGCTTACTCAAGGCAAAAAGTTGTTCTCTTTGCACCCTGTGCAGTGCTAAAGGAGCAAAAGCAGAAAGCAAAGAGTCCAGAGGAGGGCAACAAGGATGATGGGGGGACTGGAGCATCTCCCCTAGGAGGAAAGGCTGAGGGAGCTGGGCTTGTTCAGCCTGGAGAAGAGAAGGCTGAGAGGGGATCTCATCACCACCTACAAATATCTCAAGGGTGGGGGTCATGAGGATGGAGCCAGACCCTTCCCAGTGGTGCCCAGCGCCAGGACAAGGGGTCATGGGCACAACCTGAGACATAAGAGGTTCCAGTTGAACGTGAGGAAGAATTTGTTGACTGTGAGGATGCCCAAGCCCTGGCCCAGGCTGCCCAGGGGGGCTGTGGAGTCTCCTTCTCTGGAGATCTTCAACCCCAGCCTGGACGAAGTCCTGTGTAACATGCTCTAGGAGACCCTGCTTTAGCAGGGGGGTTGGACTGGGTGATCTCCCAAGGTCCCTTCCAACCCCTGCCATGCTGGGATTCTGTGATTGCTGTGATATAAAGTCTTCTCACAGTAGTTTGCATCACAGGGAATCGCCGATTCCAGCTCCAGAGGAGCCGTGTGGTCCCACTCTGCATGCTCCGTCAGCCTTAGGGCAGGATTTGAGGTACTATTTGCCAGGTCTGTAATAGTCCCCCTGTGTGAACCTGAGGAGGCGGAGGGAAAGGCAGGAGGGATCCACCTAACCCGGATAATACTGCAGTAGGAAGATTTCCTTTGAATTCTGCCCACTGTGTTTTGATGATGGAGACTGCACATAGCATGGCGGTCCTCCAACCAGGTGTTTGTAAGTCACGGTAGGAATTGTACGCTTGTAGTAGTCTTGCTCTGTCACAATCTGTCACTTGCTTATAGCACCAGGGTAAACAGCGTGGTGGGTGCTTACCCCAGTCAGCAGTTTGGGAATATTTTCATGTAGTGTTGAGAACACCGTCCTATTGCAGTCCTTCGCTTCAGCGAGGCTGTAATTTCAGTATCCTGGTCTCTTGTGGTTATCAAGGGGACTTTGATTTCTAAACTGGCAAAAACCCCCACTATGCTGTGCTGGTTTGTTACCAATAAGCCAATCACAGCAGCGTAGATAGGACTATCACATTGGTTTTGATAAGCCAGATTCAAATCCCCGCTTTACCAGGTTCCCACTGGAACCCCAGCTCTGAGTGTTTCTCAGTTAGTAAGATTGAGAGAAAAGAATTGGAGGTGGACCAGGTGATGTGATAGGTGGTAGCTGCATTCTGCAGCAGTAGCCTGAGCCTTCACCTGAAATGGTTAAGGACATGGAGGGGAGAAAGTGGGATTCATTGGTCTGGAAACAGGCAGTTGTGGAGCTGTAGTCCTGACTCTGTGCTCTCAGACTGTTTCCATTGCTTTCTAACTCATGTTACCTGTCTGCTAAGGAAATAAGGATAATTCCACTACTTTACACGCGACTCTGAGGCTGTTTTAATGTTGATAATGGCTTTTCATGATGTAGAGTGTTATTTTATTCCAAAGCAGCTTTTGGATGGCCCTGCCCTGTTAGAGTAGCATGTTACTGAAATGATCCCTGAGCACAGCTGTCACTTATAAAGTAATCTGACATCTTTCAGGAGCAATTGTGTGCTATAAATACAAATTATTGCTATTTTTTCCCATGTAGAAGGCAGTTCTTTCATACTTTATTGCTTTCTCAGGGTAAACAAAGAACAAAGCGAGGAAGGCTTTCTCTCAAGATGAAAGCGTGGGTACCGGTGTAGTGCTCTGGGTAGTTTCTATCACTGAACTGTGTGTAAAGCAGTTCTCTGTCTTTGCATGTCTCAGCTGCCAGAGATTAAAGGCATGCTACACTGCAGCCTAAGTTCTGCGCTGCTTATTACTTAGCACTTCTCATCCCCCTTCGTTTAATAACCAGTACTCTCATATGTTAATCCCACATACAGAGTTTATGGAGCTCTGTTCTACTGTTAGTTCTTTTGCTACTTCTCTGCCTCTTCGCTGGTTCCCTGCCAGTTGCTTTGATTTGTCATTGTTTTGCAATCGAGCTGTCCTCGTTTCTTGAATTTCTGTACTGAGGATCGTAGCTTCTCTTAGACAGGAATATTAACAGGTCATTTCCTACGTGAGTGTGTGCTAGGTTCCTCTGACCGTGTCCTGTCTGTCATTCAGAAGTTTTCCGGCAGATGTGTTGAAAGGAGCATCGTTCCAGACTTGCTCTCTGTTAACAGGCATTTTGGACTTTCCTTGAACTTGCTTTTTGCCTCAAAAGTATAAAGAACTGTTCTGATTGCTGTAATCAGTCAGGTGGGCTACAGCTGGTAACCTAGGGAATGGGAGCATCTGGGAGGGAGAATGGAGCCTCTTAACTCTTACTGTACATCTAAAAAGCAAAGAAACCAATGAGGAAACCATAGAATTGTTAAAAAGGGAACCGATTCATTGCCTTCCTGAATAGATGCATGTTTTCTTCTACCTTTTTGGATAATATAGGCTCTCTCCTATAGGAGGTCCTTTATGTGTCTGTTCATCTGCCGTGCTGAGCTTATATTGAACCACATCATCTGCAACCTGTTGATCTTCCATGCTCCTTTTTCTGCTCACTGGGCCTGCGAGTCTGTCCTATAGCAGCTGGAATGTAGATTGGCACTTGCTGGCTGATGCTGTGTGTGTTTAATCAGCTGAGGTTCAGCAATAAGAGGGCTGGTCACCAGCAGTTCGGAAGATTTCTTTTCAGCATATAGTGCTGTGATCACAAGTGCTGGCATCGCTGCAGACTTTGATCGACGGATTTTGTCCTGCCTCTGGTTCCAGAAGCCTGATTTCTGGGATGTTCAACCAAGCTGTCTAGATACATCTTGTCCCATTATGGTCTCACCTCAATAGTTTCCTTCCCTCAGCTCTTCTTGGCTGCTGCATGGTGACGTGGGTAACAGCCATCATTCCAGGGCCTTTGGTAGGGATGTATAGCAGAGCCTGCAGCCCCTGCCATGGCTTTTAAAGTCAGTTTGTGGTCCTGAAACATGGGTTGTGAAAAAGCCTGACTTCAGAGACTTCCAGCTGAAGTCAGCTGTATTAAAGACATTAGGTGCTCTTTCATACAAGGTCTGATGAAGCACATTTTGTCCGTCTGAATTAGAGTCCGCTTGCGCCTAGCAGATTGGTTAAAATGTTCCTGTGATTTATTACAATTGAATGCTGTGAAAACTAAACAAATTTCAGGAGCAAATCTTGAGGATCAAATTTCAGTAGGCGGCTGTTTGTCTAATGTCCTACTTTTTTCACATCTCCTGCAGAAAGCAAATAGCTTCTAGTTACATGAGCACCTGAAATTCCCTGAAATTATTCTCTGAAACACTGAAACTCAAAAATTGCCCCTTTTAAGTCTAATTTCTGCTTTCAGGGGCATGCACGGTGCCCTTTGAAGGTATTGAGGAACACCAGATGCAAATCTGAAGACAGGGACAGAGTCTGCTGTCCCTGGGGTATGCAGTATTTCACCAGCAGAGCTCTTTCTATTCCAATCCTTCAGTTACTTCTGCGTTCCTAATTATTTCTATAAGTGTAATTGACTTGCAAGACATTCTTGGCTTTCGGTATGCATTGAGTGAATTATTGACCCATCACATGGGTCATTGATGTGAAGAGATGTATGAAGAAACTGGGTGCAAAATAGCTACTTTGCATTCTTAATAGCAAGTGTAAGCCATTAATAACTTTGCTGCTTGATGCACTCAGAGCCTGCACAATTTTAGTTTGACATGCATACGGCTGAGTTCATCCTCAGTGTAATTTGAAATTCATTGGGCATGGACTTCATCTACTTATGCTACTTTAAAATCTTTCCTGTGTTGAGAATGTGATATGCTAATTCCAGAGTTTATGGCTGACTTGAGATGTTACATTTGAAAAATCAAATCCAATTAAATCAACTTATTACCAAGGTCAGAGACCAGTATTGGGCACATTCTATTCCTTGCTATTTTGCAGCAAAGAAGAAACTTAGTGAGCATATTGTGTCTCAACCCATAAACAAACTACTCTGCCCTAATAAGAAGGTTTCTGGCTGCAGGACCTAGGAAACATAGTCAAGGTATAAAGCATTCCCTGGACAGTCCAAATATCTGAGCTCAGCTCCTGGCTTTTCACATTTTTTGTATGTATTATGGGATAAGAGTTCTCCCCTTTGTGTCTCTTTCCCCATCTACTTGTAAGATGGAAGCGAAACCAGGGTGTTGGGTGGATAAATTCAATGGATGCAAAAAGCTTTGAGACCTGAATGTGTTGCTGTGGGCTGGCAGCACAGAATCAGCTTGCTGTAGTCAGAATTTTAATGGAACTCAGATTTTTAGGAGAATATAAATGAGAGATGCCCAATTGCTATCTTGGCAGAAACTTGTTTATTATCTAAGACGACAAACCTTTGCATGCATAATATCTTGATATTCTCATCAAGGAGTGAAACAGAGGGGAATATGCTATGGCTTTTTGAGATGCGCAAATATTAAGCCTATTTGCAGATACTTTTGCAAATGAAAGTCTTAAGTTTAGATTTATTATGAGTTCCTGCACTGTGCAAGTCTTTGTAATTAAACTACACTATCACCAAGTGCCCAGTGGCTCTTTCTACCTCTTATTGTTCAGCATCTAATGCATTTCCTGCAGGAGGCCCTTGTGTTCCAGACAAAACCAGAGAGAAAAGTGAGACGAATGCTGAGTTCTTAGATACCCTTTACAAATAGCCTACGATCTCGTTTCCAGTGGAAAGCTTAAATCTTGCTGGAATCTTCT